CTCACTGGGCTCCCAGCTTTCACCCTTGCCCCTACAGTTCATTCCCCATGCGGCAGTCAGGGGGCCTGTTAGTACCTAAGTTGGCTCACGTTTCGCTGCAGGTCAGAAGTCTCCCATGGCTCCACCTCACTTAGAGTAAAAGCCAAGGTCCTCACTGTAGCCCATTAGGCTCTACACAATATCCCCCACTCTCTGCTGTCTCACCTCCTCCTGCTCACCCCCTCACTCACTCTGTTCCAGCCACACTGGCCTCTTTGCTATTCCTCAAACAAGCCAACCACCGCCAGCCTCAGGGCCTTTGCACTTGCTGTTCCCACTTCCTGGGGCACTCTACCCCCAGAGATGTGCAAGTCCTACCCTTATTTCTCTTAGGCTTCTACCCAACAACCAGCAACTCCATCACTCCCTATCACCTTTACCCTGATTCTCCTTTGTGCTTATTATTACCTAACAGAACATATATTTAAATTATTCATCATATTTCTTGTCTGTCTCCCTACTAATATGTCAGCTCCATTGAGAGCAGGAGTTTTTGCCAGTCTTATTCACTGCTGTGTGCCCAATGTTTAAAATAAGGTCTGGCACATAGTAAATGCTCAAAAAATATGTTAAATGAAAAAATAAGGGATAGTGACCAAAAGAGATGCTGAGAAACAGAAAGAGGGAAGGGAATATAGACAAAGAAAGGAGAGAAAATAGGGGAATGGGAGAGGCTGAATTAGGGAAGAAATGGGAAAGGTGTATGCAGGAAAAGGAGAGCAGGGTGGGGGTATTGGGGCAAGATGCGGGGAGAGAAGTGAAGAAAGAAGATAGAGCTGGGGAGGACAGCAACAGAGGTTAGAGTCTGTCAGAGAGTAAGAAATAGAGAGAGAGACAAGGGGTGACCGGTTGGCTCAGTTGGTTGGAGCATGGTACTGATGGCACCAAGGTTGCCAGTTCGATCCCCATGTGAGCCACTGTGAGCTGTGCCCGCCTTAAAAGAGTCAACTATGCCATTGTAGCATGAAAGCAATGTGTGGCCAATGACCATGGCTGTTCCCTAATTAAAAAGAGAGTGAGCGTGAGAAAGAGAAAGTTGAGAGACTTCACGGGGAGACACACAAAGATTGAGAGACAGAGAGACAAACAGAGAAAAGGGGGAGAGAGGAGGATGGAGAGGGAAACATAGAGACAAGAAGAGAAACCGAGCGATCGGGAGAAACGGGGCTGGGAGAAGAGAGCTGGGAAATAAAATGGGGAGCCCGTGGGAACAGAGATGAAGTCCCTCCCTCTAACTCACCATTTGCTGACGTCCAGATCTCTGGGCTGACTTGATATCCCTTGGGATCCAAGCTGTGGTTTTTGAAGCCCTGAGCGATAGAGGTGGGTGGAAAGAACATGTGCTGTTGTTCTCAGAGCTTTAGATCACTAGCTTATTTAACCCTCAGAGAAACTCCGTGAGAGTGGTACTACTATCATCTTCACTTTCCAAGACCAAAGAGGTCGAGTAACCTGCTCAAAGTCACACAGCCAGTGAGAGGAAGCGCTGGGATTTGAATCTGGGCACCTTGGCCCCAAAGTCAGTGCCCCTCACCGTCACCAATGCTAATTGTAAAGAGGTACTGGCTTCCTGAGTTTCTCTTCATTCAGGAGACACCCTCTGGGAAGTGGTGCTGCAGAGGTAGATGAGAGGTGGAGAGGTAAAGAGAATGACTGACATCCCCAGTCCAGTCCATATCCACAGATGTCCCAGTCTGAGGGAGGAGGCTCAGCTTCACTCTCCTGGGAAAGTCTTCCAGTTCAAGGGAGGAGGCTGGAAAGGAAAACCACTTCCCGCGTGGAGGGTCCACTGCCCTGCCTAGACCAGAGCCAGGCCTCAGTCTTCCAAGTGGGAAAGTGGACTCAACTACCTCTGACTCTTTCAGCAGAACCTGAGTTTCTCTGCCTTGGTTTACCAGCAGCACTAAGTCCAGAGAGGTTGTACTAATCTTCAAAGGCAGCACAGTGCTTTGAGAATTTCCTCTGTGATTTCCGGAGAGGTAGAGAAGCCCCACCACCACCCGTCCTCCCTCATCTCTCAGACCCAGGGAACAAGGCATCATTCCCTCCCAGCAGCATCCAGACATCTCAGGATGAGTTAGGCTCTGTCCCTGACATTTTAATTATACTAAGCATAAACCCCAGTTCTTGCCTGAAATCATCTCACCTCTCTTCTTGCCCCATGCTGTAACAGCAGGGCAGACCCTCTGCCCCAAGCATTAAAAAAAAAAACACCTGTGAAGTTCTTTACACTGTCTGACCTTCAACTGCCCTGTTGCAGATAAGCCTCTTCTTCCCATCCCAACCCATAAACTACATGATGGCGATAGAAGACAAGGGAGAACCTAGAGAAGGGAAGATCCCACCCAGCCCACCCAGGACAAGAGAGACAAAGCTAAGATGCCAGAAAAGAATTCCCTTACAAACTTGAGAGGGGAGGAACCTCTGCAGACAACACGACAAACAAGCACGAGGCAGTTGGGACTGGAGTTTATTGCAGGTGGACGTATGGACACAGAGATTCAGAGAGGGGGAACGGGATGTGGGCTGTGTGCTCAGAATCCTACGGAGGGAGGGTCAGGAAAAGAGGTCAAGACGTGCTCTGCCAGGCAGATGGTGGAGGACCGGGCCAGACAGCGGAGGAGCTGCGAAGGGCGAGGCCCCAAGACAGCTCCCCTTCTCCTCCTCCCCGCCACTGCCCCCATTCTTCAGAATGACGGTTCCAGAGACGCTAGGCGATTTCATGAAGACGGAGTCCAGGCCCAACTGGGAGCGGCGAATCCACGGCGCGGGCGCCCGGCTCTCGAGGGCCGACAGTCCAGCTTAAGGTAGATGAGATGATTACCCGAGCCCTCGCTCCCTCGCGGCCTCCGGCGTCTCTTCAGGAGTCTGGCGGCTCGGGTCGCTGTGGCGGCGGCGGCGGCGGCTGTGCGGCAGCTGGAGCTGGGGTCGCGGCCCGCCGGGGGCTCCCAAGAGGCAGGAGACCGAAGCAGCGGCGGGTGCTGGGGCAGGCGGGGCGCCCGGGCGGGCAGCGCACGGAGGGGACGGCGCACTGGGCGGTGGGCCGACCGGGGCCGCGGGGGGCCGCGTGGGAACCCAGATGAGACCGTAGTAGACGGCGAGCAATACAGCGGCCAATGAGACGCAGAGGAAGTAGGCGCAGACCGGGGCCAGGCGCAGCCAGCGACCCCGCGGGCCCTCGCTCAGCCCGGCTCCACCCGGGCTCTCGCCGCCGCCCACGCAGCTCGTGCCCCGCATCCCCGCAACCCACTCCGCCCCGCGCGGAGGCCCGCACAAGGCCCACCCCCGCGACCTAGGCCCCGCCCCCGGAGGACCGCCTCCGCGCTCTAAATCTCCCTGGTCCAACCGCGCCCCCGCCAGTGTGGTCACGCCCCCGCACGGGCGGGCTTCCTTAGCGTCCTAGGCCCGCCCCTCCTTAGCCTCCAGCCAACCATTATCAAGCTAAAACTTAACCACAGCGCTCTGACCCCGCCCCCAGGCTTGCAATACCTGGTTTTATCTTAAATGCAGGTCCTGGCCCAGCCGACTACTACCAGACTTCTGAGTTATACCCACGCCTCTTAAATGTGAGCTCGCCCCACCGCCTAGCCCCTCCCTCCTCTTTTTGGGGCCTCCGCCCCGCGCCCTGCCCCTTCTCGGGACTTGTCTTCTTCCAGGCATCTAGCCACGCCCCCAAGCCCCGCCTCCTTGCAGGCTCAGGCCTCTCAAGTCCCGCCCCAGTCCCAACTTGCTTTTCTCCGAATCAGACTATACTCCAGCATTCGATTCCGCCCTCTTCTCTGTAGTCCAGGCTCCACCCGATTCTCCCCTTTCCTCTTCCTTACGCCACTTGTTTCAGCACCGAATTCTAACTACGCCCTCCGCTGGTGACTGCCCCCAAAGTGTTAGGAGCTCCCAAAAACCGGCCTCGTAGCCCCACCCCTTTTCCTAACACTTCGCACGTTCTAACTCCACCCACCCGGATTCTGGCCTCGCCCAGGAGCCCTAACCACTCCCCTCACGGAACCAACCGCCTGCTCCATACTTTGTGTCGGGAGGTCTAAACTCACGCCCGGACGTTCCAGCTCCAGCCCACACCCAACCACGCCTCGTCCCCAGCTCCAACCCGACCACCCTTAATTTCTCCCTTTCCCTAAACAATGGGGTCCAGAGTGGGCTCCAGGGTGGAAAGAGCACAGCCTCGAGAGCCAGAATAACCCCCTCCAGCCGCCCCCGCCCCCATCAAGGCGGGGAAGCTTCAGTCCCCTCCCAGCAGCGTCTTCAGGAATTCAGGGAGGCCTGCGGGAGGTGGGGAGGGGAAGGGAAGACGTATCAGGGGGGTGGAGAAAGACCCTTTCCTCCCGCCTCTTCCGCCACGGAAAAGCCTGCCAAGCACAGCAACCCAGCCTGCCCCCGCCAGAAACACAGTTCAAAGATTAGCGAAAGCGCTGCGTTTTAATAGAGACAGGGCCAGTGGCTGAGAAATTAAAGTCCTTTGGAAGAGTCACCGGCTAGTTGCCATGCCCCAGATGTAAGCTTCTGTAGGCGAGAAACTTGGCCCGGATACTGGCACCTACCCCCCACGGNTTGTTCTTGGTCACAAGTCTATGGGTCAGCTGGATGACTGATGAGCTTATCAGTCAGCTGTGGGTTGATAGGTGGTTCAGTTTGTGGGAGTTGGCCGGATATCAGCTGGGAGCCTTAAGTGTACTTGGTGCACTCTCCAGTTAGCTCAGGCTTACCTCTGTGGCAGTAGAAACTTCCCAAGAGAGCAGACAGAAGAAACAAAGACTCTTGAGACCTAGACTCAGAACTGACACAGTGTCACTTGTGCCACATTCTATTGGACAAGGTCTGCCAAATTCTAGGGGTGGGGAAACTGACTCTGTCCCTTGAGAGGAAGAACTACAAAGTCATGATGCAAAGGGCATAGGTGGATTGTAGCCACTTTTTCTTTATGTGATCCTAATGGGCAACTGCGATCTTATTCTTTCTTTTTTATTTTTTAATTTTTCTTGGGTAACAGTGTGTTTTTTCCAGGACCCATCAGCTCCAAGTCAAGTGGTTGTCCTTCAGTCTAGTTGTGGAGGGCACAGCTCAGCTCCAAGTCCAATTGTCGTTTTCAATCTAGTTGCAGGGGGAGGGGGGGGCACACAGCCCACCATCCCATGCGGGAGTCAAACCGGCAACCTTGTTAAGAGCACACGCTCTAACCAACTGAGCCATCAGGCCGCCCGATCTTATTCTTTTACATAAATATAAAGAGAAAGCAAGCCCAAGTTCTAGTAAAAAAGAGTGTCTTTCAGAGGAGATCCATAGAATGAGTGACTCATGCTTCAGTGCCAAAAAACAACCATTTGTAATAGTCATTAGAGATGTTCTCAAACATTCTGGCTCTCCTTCTGGGCACAGAGTAGGGTTCCACACCCCTGCCTGTTTGAAGTTTGGCAGGGCCATGTGACTTGCCTTCCCAGTGAAATGTGAGAGCAGGGAATATGCGCCCCTTCAGTATGAAAATTTTAAGAACTAGTACACGTTTGACCATGTTTTGAATTTTCCCCTGGCCAGGGCAACTAGCTAGTGGCTGCTTCATCAGCCTGGGTCCCCAGGCTGATGGAAATAATGTGGAGTAATGCTCCCAGCCGACATGGTGCATGAATGAGAAATAAATCTTTGTTGTGTCAAGCCACTGCGGGGGAGAGGTTACTGCAGCATAGCATACTTTATATGACTGATATGCCACTCTAAGTATTTTAAGCATAAAGGGATATAATGCAGGGATATCAGTGATTTAAAAAGTCATTGCGGGGGCCGGCCAAGTGGTG